GCAAGCGCTTCCGATTCTAGGAGCAGGCGCTTCTGATTCTAGGAGCAGACTTCCGCAATTCTAGGAGCGGACGCCTTCGATTCTAGGAGCAGAAGCTCCCCCTTCTAGACAAATCCCACGCCTTGAAGAACCAGCCCCAAGTGAGTAATTCGTGTATTTCTTGAGTACTTACTCATCGCAAGTCCTATCCTCGTAAGTAAAGTAAAAGCAACAACGCCTCCACCATTCTGCTCTGCAATTGAAGAAGTGACTCTTCTTGGCAAATTCTGTGAGTCGCAGCCTCAAGTTATAATCGTCCTTCAAAGCAAACAGTAATTCTCTCAGCACAAGCAGCTATTGCCCTCAGCACAAGCGGCAGTCCGTTATTGCCCTCAGCACTAGCGGTAACCCGCGATTTCTCTCAGCACTAGCGGCAACCCACTATTTCTCTCAGCTGCTATTTCTCTCAGCTGCTATTTCTCTCAGCAGATCGTTATCTCTGTCAGCAGTTGTTTCTCGCAGCAGTTGTTTCTCTCGGCAGTTATTTCTCTCAGCAGTTATTTCTTTCAGCAGTTACTTCTTTCAGCAGTTATTTCTCTCAGCAGATATTTCTCTCAGCAGCTATTTCTCTCAGCAGATATTTCCCTCAGCAGACATTTCTCTCAGCAGTTATTTCTCTCACCAGATACTTCTCTCACCAGATATTTCTCTCAGCAGATATTTATCTTCTCAGCAGTTATTTCGCTCAGCAGATATTTCTCTCAGCAGTTATTTCGCTCAGCAGTTATTTCTTTCAGCAGTTATTTCTCTCAGCAGTTATTTCTCGCAGCAGATATTTCTCTCAGCAGCTATTTCTCTCACCAGTTATTTCTCTCAGCAGCTAGTTCTCTCAGCAGATATTTCTCTCAGCAGATATTTCTCTCGGCAGTTATTTCTCTCAGCAGATATTTCTCTCAGCAGATATTTCTCTCAGCAGATATTTCTCTCGGCAGTTATTTCTCTCAGCAGATATTTCTCTCAGCAGATATTTCTCTCAGCAGTTGTTTCTCTCAGCAGATATTTATCTCAGCAGTTGTTTCTCTCAGCAGATATTTATCTCAGCAGTTGTTTCTCTCAACAGATATTTTCCTCAGCAGACATTTCTCTCAGCAGTTATTTCTCTCACTAGATACTTCTCTCACCAGATATTTCTCTCAGCAGATATTTAGTGCTCAGCAGTTATTTCGCTCAGCAGATATTTCTCTCAGCAGTTATTTCGCTCAGCAGATATTTCTCTCAGCAGTTATTTCGCTCAGCAGATATTTCTCTCAGCAGTTATTTCGCTCAGCAGAAAATCGCTATTTCTCTCAGAACAAGCACTAGATCGTTATGTCTCTCAAAACAAGCAATACATAGATCGCTACGACTCTCAGTCTCAAGAGAAACAATAGATCGTCATATCTCTCACGCGGATCGCCAGTGCCAGGTTACAATATGGCACCTTGAGCCAAGATGGCTACGGTACAGAGGGATGACGTTTTGGAGCTTCATCTGTCTTACTTTTCCTTGGCTGCACATCTCTCACGCTCAAGGGGTTCTTTTAGGGAATGCGAATGATAGGTTTCTCATGTTGAAAAAATAGGCTACCACTATCGATCGTGCGTCGCAGTCGCACGTCGCAGTTAATGGACGGTCTCACTCGTGTAACAACTTCTATGTCCTCGTAAGATGTGATGAAATTTATAAATTCTTTCTGTCCTCTCTCGCGATTCTCATCAATAAAGTAACGAACAAGTAAGAGTAGTATGTCTTCTTTACGGACGACAAAAGAATTTCTACTGGTATGTTTCTTTACGGACGACAAAAGAATTTCTACTGGTATGTTTCTTTACGGACGACAAAAGAATTTCTACTGGTATGTTTCTCTACGGATGACAAAAGAATGTTTCTCTACGGATGGCAAAAGATTTTTTTTTTGGACGAGATTACTCTAAAGTTAAAAAGTATACTTGCCGTTATTCTCTCAAAGGAGAAAAGGCGAGGAGCATCATCAACAACAAGCATGGTAGAGGGCAATGGGGGACGGAAGCAACATGGAGCGAGGGAGGGGTGGCAGGCAGTGAGCCGATTCAAGCTGGAGTCAAGAATAGAATGGCTTGTTATCAGAACTCTCGTAGATTTGGATCGTCATGAATGTCCGTGAAATAGTAAACAAGTGAAAGAAAAACCGAATTGGACTACTTTTTAGAAGTAGTTTCGAAAGTTTTCATTTTCTATTCCGACGACAAATGCAAATGAAACAAACCGAATTGGACTACTTTTTAGAAGTAGTTTCGAAAGTTTTCATTTTCTATTCCGACGACAAATGCAAATGAAACAAACAGAATTGGACTACTTTTTAGAAGTAGTTTCGAAAGTTTTCATTTTCTATTCCGACGACAAATGCAAATGAAACAAACCGAATTGGACTACTTTTTAGAAGTAGTTTCGAAAGTTTTCATTTTCTATTCCGACGACAAATGCAAATGAAACAAACAGAATTGGACTACTTTTTAGAAGTAGTTTCGAAAGTTTTCATTTTCTATTCCGACGACAAATGCAAATGAAACAAACAGAATTGGACTACTTTTTAGAAGTAGTTTCGAAAGTTTTCATTTTCTATTCCGACGACAAATGCAAATGAAACAAACAGAATTGGACTACTTTTTAGAAGTAGTTTCGAAAGTTTTCATTTTCTATTCCGACGACAAATGCAAATGAAACAAACAGAATTGGACTACTTTTTAGAAGTAGTTTCGAAAGTTTTCATTTTCTATTCCGACGACAAATGCAAATGAAACAAAAACAATTGGACTACTTTTTAGAAGTAGTTTCGAAAGTTTTCATTTTCTATTCCGACGACAAATGCAAATGAAACAAACAGAATTGGACTACTTTTTAGAAGTAGTTTCGAAAGTTTTCATTTTCTATTCCGACGACAAATGCAAATGAAACAAAAACAATTGGACTACTTTTTAGAAGTAGTTTCGAAAGTTTTCATTTTCTATTCCGACGACAAATGCAAATGAAACAAACAGAATTGGACTACTTTTTAGAAGTAGTTTCGAAAGTTTTCATTTTCTATTCCGACGACAAATGCAAATGAAACAAAAACCGACCACACCGACGAGTATTTTATCATTGAAATCACGTTCTTCCGTACTCACAACAACATGTTTCTCTTCTCGTTTCGCTCGTAGGTCAAGCAAGGATGCTCTCACCGATTTCGATTTGTGCGGCGACTTTGCAGTCTAATAGATCATTTTTGCATGCATGCTACGAAACTTGAACGATTTTTTCCAGTAGAGTCAGTCATCTTCGTCTTGCGCTCCTGTGAATGATCGTTGCGGCTCCTTTCTCCTCGTCGTCGTCTGCGAAAGATTCTAGCAGGGCGCCGTCCAGACCACGTCGCAACATCAACATGCCATCGAAGAAGTCCCAGCTACTGTGCCTACACCTTCGAAGCCACTTCTGCCACAATTCTGTATCCTCTGGCTGCAAGAATCGGTGGAACTGGTAGTAGTCGTGGTTGTGCGTGTGTCCCCCAAAGTCCTGTAAAGCTGCAGTTTCAACTCTCATCTCTTGCTGCTCAACTAACTTTCGACTTTGCGTTTGCCGACTACCAGTAGAAGCCGGACGAGCATTATTTTTACCATCGTCGTCCTCGTCTTGATCTTCGTCACCCAAGATTCCGCCTGCTCCTGCAGTAGCCGATGATGAACCTGTAACGTGTTTGATGGTCCTATAACATTTCTAGTACCTTTGGTAACAAGTACAAGAGATGACGTGTTTGATGGAGCAGCAGACATTGTTGTCGACAACTCTGTTTGATGGTCCTACAGACTTGTTTCATGAGATTTGAAGAAGTCCTAACATTTCTAGAACTGTGTCTTCTAGAAGAAGTGCTAGTTGTTCGTTTTCATCGAAATGCTCTGAGAATGAAATGCTCATTGTAGAAATGCTCTGAGAATAACTCGAGACCAACCTCGGCGTCACCTGCTCCTGTAGGACATCTTCCAATTTGAAGCTACTTCAAAGTATAATAGAAATAGAAGTATCTTTACTGTATAAGCCTTGATTCAAAAATGAAGCATAGTATCTTTCCTGAGATGACCTCTCAAAATTTGAGGAAGAGGACTACCTCTATTGCTTCCTCCTCTGCTTAGCACTCCTTCCTACCCTGGACCCGTCGGTGGCACCTTACCCACCTAGGAACCGTCGGTGGCAATCCACTCCTTCCTACCCCGGAAGGACTCCACTCCCTCCTACCACTCCACGAAGGTAAGGATTGACTCCTTCCTACCGAGGTAAGGTAGCACTCCACTCCTTCCTCCACCAGGAGGAGTTCTGGCTTAGTACTCCTCCACCAGGAACCAAAGGTGGCAAGTCGGATTCTTGTCAAAGGGCGTTGTTTACCACGTGCCTTTCTTCTATGATAAAATTCTTTCGATAATTCTTAGAGGACATCAGGGTATTTCTCAAATTCACTAACCCAAAAAGCTGGACTTTCCATGAGGATATCTTCCTTCCCCTGTGCCGTTGAGCGATCTTCTACAAGAACGCTTTCAGTCTTTCAGATGCATCATCTACCATGAATTCGTCAGCACGCTGTTGAACCAATGGGTTTCTCTTTTCCTCTTTCAGCACAGCACTTCCCGGACGCGCCAAAGGACCTCCACCAAGAGCATTTCCTGCTGGTCCCATACGTTGTTCGCACTAGCCACGACTTTCAGACCTTATGTAACTCCAAAGATCTTCGAATATTTTCCGAAAATCGTCTCTACCTTTACGGCTTCCTCCAGCTGCAGAACTTTCCTCGTGACTTTTTGTATTCGTGTTCCCCCTCGTGACCACCAGCTTAAATCACGGTTAATACTATCCCTTACCTGTGCCTGTGGTCTATAATACCACACAGGCCCATCAACATCATGCTGTAACTATAATGGCATCATAATTCCCATGACCAGTGTAAAAATGGTTAGAGGTTACGGAATTGTTACACTCTTCGGCATATAATTCCCGGAAAAGAGTCACGGTCGGGATCATGACTATGACATACGAGTGCCTTCGTCATCCTCTTCTGGTCTTCTATCGGCTCTTGAAGTCGTAAAAATGCTTGTCGCAGAGTCCTTGCTCACACGGGTCCGATTTATTTCGCACCAGAGGGAGGACTTTTTCGTTCGGCCTACTACGTACTATTCAGCGATGAAAACGGCGAGGACGATGCCGCGATGCCTTGCTTTGTCAAAGGTCTTCTGTTGGATGCAGTGATTTCTTCTTGTGGACCTGATGATGGAGGTGCGCATCAAAGGTAACATATCCTCAAGGAAACTACTTGCAGGTTCTTTACTACGAGGGCTGACCTCTGTCTTTGATCGGTTGTTTTTACTTAAGCACACGATCATTATCATTTTATAAAAGTAATACTTAGAAATATCAATGACTTCAATTACGACGATTGTTGCGAATAAGACGAATCCAATTGTTGCACCATGAAGATGAAAGAACAAGAAGATCAAACAAGACAGCCAAGGCATTGAAGTCGCAAGATGTTCGAAGCACGTGAATGCAATACTCTGCAAGTTTCTGAATATGAACATGATCAAGCACAACAGCGAGCGTTATGAGCCCAAAACGCAGCCTGGTTACGTTTCTACAGCAGCAAAGAGCCATGGGAAAAGCAAAAGGGGAGCAAGCAGCTAGTGGTGGCACTCCGCCCAGTTTCACAGCTACCACCGGCCCAACGAAAAAGCAACGAAAGAAATTGGAGAAGGAGAAGCAAAAGAATTCTACCCCTAGTGGTGTTACAACATCTTCAACCGCGAAAGCCGATGGGCCTGCAGATGCTGCACCTGATACCGATTCAGTTACTGTAGGAGCCGCATCCGATATGACGGACGTTAAGAAGGGGTCAGCAGAAGGCGCCCCAGTGTTCGAAGAAAAGGAGGCCAGTGACGATTTTAATCAGAATGGCCAAGTGTTCGCTAGCGAAGCAGGCGCGTCAAAGCCTGCTAGCACCAAGAAAAACAAGAAGAAGAAAGATGCTGAAGTAGACCTTCCAGACCTACTTTCAACATCTGAAGACATGTCCGTCGTCGAAAGTTCATCATCCGACTCGGACTCTGATAGTGAAAGTTCTAGTTCATCATCTGAAGAAGATTCATCATCTGCCTCCGAATCAGAAGAAGGCGATGAGGATCCGAAGAAGAGCCTAAAAGGCAAGAAGAACAAGAAGAAGAGTAAAACTTCTTCCAAGAAAAAGAAGGGTAAAAAGTCATCTTCATCTCACAAGAAGGTGCTCATATCCGCCAAGATCTTGAAGCAACTCATGAAGAGAACGGCCAAGAAGAAAAGCCACAAGAAGAAGAAGGGCAAAAGTTCATCTGCTAGCAACAAGGACAACAACATGAGCAAGATCCCACCGTACAAATCGTCCGCACTATCATTCGGGCGATATTTAGCTCTAGCAGCCAAGAAGTATCACGCTTCCAAAGTCTTGGATTGTATCGAAGGCAAAATCGAAGTAGCGGATATTCTCCAAAAATATACGGAGATCAAGGAGCGAGAAGAAGTCACTTGTATACGATCACACAAAGACAAGCTGACGAAGATCGTCTATCTCTACCGTAGTGAGAACGAGTCAGAGGAGATGCAGCGCACGGACCTCGAAGGGACAAAACAAGGCAGAAACGAGCGACCATCTGCTTGGTTCAAGAGGTTCCAAAGGGCACAGTGCGTAATGCAGCCTGGTGTGATCAATGACGCCGAACTTTGTCGTATGGCTCAGCGCCAAACTTGTGGTGTAGCGAAAACGATGATCATCCAAGATAATCCATCTTCAATGTCGAAATTGGCTGAAGCGGTTAGTAAAGCAGAAAAGTTGTGTACTGGAGAGCCTCCGGCAGCATCTGATACCGCATTAGATGTCAACGATCACAATGTGTATTCGAACTTCGCATCATCTAGTGCGTATTTTAGTGGTGGCAAAAATCAGCAGCCATATCAGCAGAAAGGTGGCAAGTAAAGCAAGAACCACCATAACCACAAGGGTGGAAAAGGCAAGGAGACTCGCACATGTCACATTTGCCAAAAGTCAGGCCATATTTCGATCAACTGCAGGTGGAATCCAAATTCTCAAAATTATGCCGGTGTTCAGTGGAATGGTGGCAAAGGTGGAAATCAGCACAATCAGCACCCACCTAACAACCACTTCCAGCAACCAGCGTTCTGGAATCAGCCGTACCAAAGTCCCGCTATGATGAATGCGAATCCGCCCCAAGTGTTCTATGCAAATCAGCAGCAGCAACATCATCAAAGTGTTCAGCAACAGCAACAGGCACAGCAACCTGTAGCGCAACAACAAGGTCACCAGCAGCAGCAGCATGCTAACTATGTGAACCAGAGTGAAGCATACGACTGGAGTCAGCATGTAAGTGCCAATATGGGATCAGGACAGCAATCCTTCAATGGTCTCATCTTCGAGTCTACGACAGACAACCCATTGGCAACACCTAGTACTACTACGCCGTTAGCTGGTAGCGCTTTCAACGTGAACGACAACAGAACGCCCACAACTACAACCGAAAACGGTGCGCAACTTCGATGGTGTATCATCGATTCAGGCGCAAGCAAGCACATGTGTGGAGATTCTAGCTTGTTGTTTGACAAAGCGTTCGAGCTACGACAGTTTCAAACGGCTGGCGTGGATCCGGTCGAATCTCGCCAAAAGGGATTGATGCGTGGACCGTGTTTCAAGTTTTCGAACGTTTGTCACGTGCCATCCTTGGGACCAAAGATCCTGATCAGCATGTCGCTATGCCTCATGAATGGGATCCCGATTGATCTTACGCACAATAAGTTCATGAATAACTATCGGATGGAGATAAGGGAAGGCGTGCTACAAGTACAGCTGCCGTTCTACACGACAAGTGAGATGCAGGATACTGTCTTGGTCACAACCGCAGCCGAGTTCCTGGAAAATCTCTGGTGCTTATCCTATGATAGATTTGGTTGTAAAGTTGGACTAAACTTGGAAGAGAGATTATCTTACTATGAAGTAGACTTGGATAATCTCACAGAGCAAGAGATTATAAACGAAGTAGTCCATAATAGGAAGAAGAAGGTCGTCTTGCTGTTCTCGAACTTCTCAGATGAGGTGGAAAGGAAAGTCAGAATCCTCTCCACTTATCTCGATGAAGGAGTCTCAGTTCAAGACGGACCTGATGAGAACCCTCTGTGGAGGACGTTTGAGATAACTGGTGAAGAGATAAAAGAAGCGAAAGAGAAAACTCTACTGATGGATGAAGTGAAGAGCACGGGCCTACTGGATACAGTCAACTTCGGAAACGATAATGACTGCAGTAGTGTCGGCGTAGCTCAAAAAGAAGAAGGTGAAGAAGAAGACTACGATCTTGATGATGAAGTTGAAAATGAAGTAGAAGAAGAAGAAGAAGACGAAGTGGTAGATGACACTGGTTATGAAGGGATAGAGCTGGAGAGCACTAATGAGCAAGAAGGCTCAAATGAAGAAGGAAAAAGTAACAAGAAGAAGAAGAAGAAGCCAAAGAAAAAGAGAAGAGCCAACGTGAGTAGTGACTCGGGCACTAAAAGGATACGACCAGCGGTGAAGCGTCGAAAGTTGGACCCACCTGCGGTCTATCCTAAGCCGAAGATCAGCTACGAGTATATCTGCAACATAGGGGCTAGTTTAGTCTTTCCGACATTTCAGAAACTGTGGGAAGTCGTCAGGACAATCGATAACTCTCCACAAGCTAAAGCTTGGGTTGTTCACTTCTGTAGACATAACCTTAACAGGCTAAAAACACACGCGTTTCCGCACCACAGGTCAGGAGGAATCGACGCAGCAAGTCTGCACGATTGGACCTCTTTTGACACGTTCTTTCCCCTCGGTAAGGATTATGCTGTCTTGCACGGTATTAACTTGCTCAGTCGGGCTAGTGTAACTAAAACCTTGTCTAGAAGTGGTGTCAAGGGAAAGGACGCAGTAGAGTTCCTAGAGACGTGCAAAACTCGAGGATTCTTAGGACGTAACATTCTGTGCGACCAGGGTAAGGAGTTTGACAATCATGAGGTAAGGGAGTATTGTCAACTGAATAGTATTGGCCTATTCCTAATCCCTAAATCTAGTTGGGTTAACGGTATCTGTGAACGTCGACACAGATATTTCCGCGGAGTTTTGCACAAGCTCTACTACATATATGGACAGAGAGCCAGCATAATCCCGAGGCTAGTTGAACAAACGGCAAACGCGATTAACGCTACTCCTACTAAGTCACTTCAAGGGTTATGTCCTTATATGGTTCAGTGGGCTACAAACCCTTGGAAGATGGAGTTAGACTGTCCTGAAGATATGACGACCCAGCAACTGGTCTTGTTAGATAAACTAGACCCCGAAGCAGATCAGATTATAAGGATGAAGGCAAGGCAAGAAGTTGAAGCCTGGAAATACGACAAGAAGACCATCGAAGAGATGAAGAAGTTGGCTGAGAGACAGCGTAATGCCTATCCAGAGTCGGCTTGTCTGGAAGTTGGACATCTGGTAGACATTTACGACAAGGACAAGCAAGCATGGATGGGACCTGCAAAGTTGATCTTCAGACAAGTGAACAAGGATAGTCTGACATTTATAGTCGACTACGATGGATGCTTCAAGCGAGTGCATGAATCTCATGTGAGACAGCACCTAACGCTTGATGAGATGAGCTTTCCTCCGCAACTTCTCCGCGTACTGTACAAGACTCACAATGTTCCACCAAGTGAGCAGAAGGAAACCAGAAATGGCGAGTTTGTTGAACAAGCCATCCATATGAAGATTGGAAAAGACGGGCCACTTTCACCTGTGTGCCCCGATGAAGAAAAAGGTTTAGAGTTTTTTGAAGAAGCAGATCATGTCGAACGGGTGCCGGGTGAGAACCCGAATCCTACTCCACATGATGGGTCGGCTGAGGATGTCGATTCTGGCGGGGATAAGGGCACTATTCCTTCGCAACGCGAGCAAGATGAAGTCTTGCCATCAAAAAGGTTCAGGCTGACGAAAAGCTACACAGACAAAGTCTTTGAGGACTTGAAAGTGAAAGAAGCTAAAAAGCTAAGAGAAGTGCGGGAGAAGGAGGAAGTGCCATCAGGAGTAAGAGGCGCTTGGAAGAAGAAGAAAGAAGCGCGAGAGAGTGCTCTTGAGCAAATCCGGAATATCATCATGGCGCAGCCAGAGTATTCGGATCTCAAGAAGCAACAACTCGAAAAAGTAGCGTCGAGTGTGTATGAAAAAGTGAAGAACAGTGACGACTTGAAGAAGACAATCCACAACGAGCTTGGACTGCTTGCAGTCGTTGCCCCGCTCGTTTGTGATGATTGGGAGCCAGGTGAGAAAGTATTCAAAGCTGTGGCTATCCCAGACCATGAGTCCGGCTTTGACACTTCTACACCAGAATGGCAAGAGGCTATTATGAAAGAGTTGAAAGCACGCTCCCATGTGTTTGGAAGAGCAACAGACGAAGATCTGAGAAACTGGAAGAAAACAGGAAGCAGAAACGTCCCTTGTAAGATGCTACTAAGTGTGAAGAGATGTGGCAGGAAAAAAGCACGGATCGTGTGTCTTGGTTTCTTGGACAAAATGTCCGGCAACGCAGATAAGTATGCCTCTGTGCCTGATCTAGCGATCTTGCGCATGCTCGTTGCTATGAAGTGCCAAAGTCCATCGATTTTCGTCTTTCCTTCCGATGCCACAAGTGCACTTCTCCAAGCTCCGTATCCCGTGCCAGTTGTCATCGAACTAGACCACAGGTTAGAAGAACTCCTTGGATACAAGTTAGGAAAAGTCAAGTATGCTATGAACGGGTTGAGATTGTCTTCTAAAGCCTGGGAAACGCATCGAGATAAAACTCTCACGCAGTTTGGCTGGAAACAAAACCCACTAGAGAGCACACTTTGGACTAAGCGAGGAGTTTTACTGTGTGTCTTTGTGGATAACTTCTATTTCTTTGGAAAGAAGGAAGAAGTCATGGTCGTACATAATGAGACGCAGTCCGCACTTAAGCTTCAACCAGAGCCAGTGCGGGAGACTGCTACTCGTAGGATCTTTGACATTCTCGGAATAGAGTTGCATGAGTGCAAACGAAGTGGTAACGTAACACTATCCCAAGACGCCTACGTAAGCAAACTACTTGAGCGCTTTGGCGGGGATAGTGGAAAGAAGGTGAGCACACCAATGGAAAGCGCTCCAAGTATTGGCTTACCTGAAGTGCCTAGCCTGTTGAAGGCTAAGCAGGAACCTACGGGAAGTTTACAATACTTGTGTCTAACAAGATTAGACATCGTAGTGCCATTGAAGATGTGCGCGAAAGTGAAAGCAACTGAAGAAAGCGTAGCAAGCTTGAAAAGGATTATCAGATACTTGCGAACCCGAAGAGCTTTGATGTATAAAAACCGTTCACATGAGTTCAAAGGAAAGCTCATCCTTACAGCTTGGTCAGACAGCGACTGGGCATCCTTTGGTGATAGACGCTCAATTTCAGGCATAGTGATCAATCTCAACGGGAACCCTATTGCCTGGAATAGCGCTAGTCAGCATAGTGCTGCTAGTAGTGTCAGCGAAGCTGAGCTGTATGGGATGTCAGAAGCCGCGAAGATGGCTATGAGGTTTCGCTACGTCTTGACAAGTTTGAGATCATTCTGGATTCAATTCTTTGATGAATCATCTATAGTGCTACCTGTTGAGTTAGGATGTGACAACTCTGGATCGATCAAATATTCAGAGAACAAAACCGGAGTTGCTAGTCGATTGAAACATATCGACATCAGGGATGCTATGATTAAGGACTTCTGTACTAGACGACTCATAAAACCAATTTGGCACAGTACCAAATTGAACAAGTCAAACGGACTCACTAAAGTAACTACTGGTGCAGATTTCTTTGATTTCTTGAGACTCAACCAAGTGATTGAGATTTAAGGTCTCCTAGTGTTCCCTTCCATTTAGGACGAAGCTACAGTTCTTATTTAAGAAGAAACTACAGTTTTTATTTAAGAAAGTTGAAGATTCTAGTTGAGAAAAGTATAACAACCTTTCCGACCAAAAACACCCCAACCCTACAACTACAGAGTATCCCTCAGTACGTGACGAAAGCAGAAGAAGCCGTTAGGAAAGTAAGACGAATCCGAAGAGACGAGCTTAACGACGGACTCAGAAACTTTGGAGTATGGGGAGGCTGTTGCGAATAAGACGAATCCAATTGTTGCACCATGAAGATGAAAGAACAAGAAGATCAAACAAGACAGCCAAGGCATTGAAGTCGCAAGATGTTCGAAGCACGTGATTGCAATACTCTGCAAGTTTCTGAATATGAACATGATCAAGCACAACAGCGAGCGAGAAAGTTAACACCCGAAGAATAAGAGCATGAGCATCAAACTAATGCCATGCAATTTACCACCTTGCACATGAGTGCCAAAATATTGATTGAACAACTTAGGCCTTGAGTCATATGCATGCATCTTGTTTCGTGTCTTGAATCACCCCAATAATACAATCAATACCGCTGCGATTTCCGCTATTACTGTTCAACCGAAGACCAGAAAAAGTATCCATCTGCATCGGTTGCCTCGTGCTCTCTTTTGTCTTCTCATGATCTCTGTTTTAACAACGATTGTGCAGGGAGGACGAGGTGGTATCCATTTGTGATGAAAAGGGTAAGAGTCAGAAAAACAAATGTTGAGAAGACGTAGTTGACTCCTTCTCAACAATGTGAAATTTTCAAAAAAACTTTTGAGACTGAGCAGTCCTTTTTTTTGAGCATTGACTTGAAGCAAGTTATGTAAAAATGTTATCTATCAACATCATGTCAGGTGAGAACGCAGGTGGGATTACACCCAGCGTACATCAATTGGAGGATTCAAAATTCAAAAAAAATATCTTCGCACTTTTTAAGGCATTTTCACATTCACTCTAACAGCAGTAGTCTAGTTCTAAAAACGTGTTATAACCCTAACCTTTCTTTCAACTAAACTAGTTACAATCCAATACAATATACAATATACAATTAATCTCGCACAAAGTTCAGTGCAGACTGGCATAAAGTGCCACTGAAAAATACATCGTCTCCAGGTAATGTAGTTGTAGTAGTTTACCCTTTCGGGAGGTAGGTTCAGCAAGAGGAAGGGGGAGAGGAAGAGTGTTCTCTTCCTAGGGGTCGCTCAGTCACAGCTCTCTCCTATGAAGTTCTAAAAACGTGTTACAACCCTAACCTTTCTTCCAACTAAACTAATTACAGAGTGCCACTGAAAAATACATCAGATCGGCTTACTACAGAATCAAGAACCACTCACTCATTCAAGGTTCCACTTCGGCGGCTCTCAACAAGAGCTTTCATGGCCGTGTCACAGCAGTCGTGCCACACACAGAAAGAATTTCGACTCTTCCATTGTTTTGTTCTCCTTCTCACTCTCTCCAGTGTATGCTTTTCTTCGAAACTAACAGCAGCCGTACTCGCAAGCGGTGCACTCCAACATGTGGAATAATTTTTTTTTGTCAAATTTTTGCAATTCATCTCACCTCGAACCATCACCATGGGTTTTTTTCAATGTTGATTTAGATATTAAATCCTCATTGGCTCAACATGTGCCTCTGCCACTGTGTCTAGCTACATAGCTTTCGTATTTCTATGGGAGAAAGCCACAAGAGGACACAACCGACAGAGAGGCAGCACACTTAGACACAAAACGTGCTGTTTAGTGTCAGTCATATTTTTAAGAGGTGCTGTTTAGTGTCAAGTTATAAGAGCTACTAGTCACCATAGTGATATTTTAGATACGGATTGATATCACATCTTCTCGTCGTCGCTTTAATTGATGAAGGAGAAAGAACTATTGAGGATGATTGAGGATGAGGCTTTTTCTACTCTTACGTTGAGTATACCGGTTGTCGCAGGGATATTATGGTCGTTTTGGAAGGAGAACATGGGGTGCTGGGACGAAGAAAGGAAAAATATTCAAATATTTATTTCATCAAACGAAGCTCCTTTCAAATATTTATTTCATCAAACGAAGCAAGAGCAACTACTCGTAGTAATCAGTCACGTCTAGGCTCCTTCGTTTTGCAAAAACATCTAGGCGCTCTCGGTGGTCATGATTCGATCTCGAATGAGCCAACGCCCGCAACCTTTTCGCTGTTGTTCGTCCCCCGCACTAGGAAATCCAAACGACAAACATTTTCTACTAAAACTAAATCAATGAATATGTGTAAGTATGGCCAAGTAGACGACAAAGGACAAAATCTTCTCCTCCACTTTTGCTTTTCTAAGAACTTCTATTCTCATGTGGTCGTGTAGCAAGTTTTCTATTTCATCTGTACCAATTCTGTACTGCCCGCCTATAGAAGAACGGGAAATGCCGTCTCAACCTTGGCTACCATTTCCATACTATAGCTTCTAGTGTAAATGATCATGTTGTAAATGATGCTTCTGCGTTAACCGGTTTTGTCAAATGTATGCCTCTAAAGAAATACCACCTTGTTGTTTCTGCCGCAGGTCGACGAAGAGTTCTTGCTAGACAACTCCAGTTTAGACTAGCCTTTGCTCTTTAAGCCTAAGTAGAAGCAACAGGAGCACCAAAAATTCCGAAACTTCAATCATATGTTGCTCAGCACTAAAACTAACTCCTCAAGAAAGTAGGCACTTTCTAAGTAGGAAGAAGCCTCTTTTCTTGAGTATGAGTACACTTTTTCGTGTCATAGTAACGAAGGTGGCTTCTTGCATGATCATACACTCTTTCTCTCTAAACCAATTTAGTATAGACCAGAACTCTTTTGGGATGGTGGCGTTACGAGGGTCGTCGAGATGAAACGTAGGTCTAGGTCCTCAACATGTATAAAATCGTGATAGGAAAAACATTCAGCTCATGATGCACATTCCACCTAAAATCAATCGCGAAGATTCATTGCTGCACTCACAGAACGTTAAAAGAAAAAAGAACATTTTGGCTGTTCCTTACAGTAAGAATCAATGAATCATCAATAAAAAGTACTTAATGAGAAGTCATTCGCATCGCCGAGAAATCTAAAAGAACAATTCTTGCAAGTTGTGTGTCCACCCTTTTAACTATCACTAAGAACGTTTTGAAAAGGTCCTAAAAAGCCCAGAAGAACCACTGCTCAGTTATTGCAGACGGTTACTAACAAATACTATGCCAAGTAGTCATCTCGTCTATTGGCATAGCCTAAAAACTACAACTTAGTTCTAAAAACTAAATCTTTTCCAGCCCATCGTGGCTTCTTACCATCGGCCACCCCCAAAGCTGTTTCCGCGGTCGCCGAATCCACGGCCACCTCCTTTACCTCCTCCGAAGCCTCCTTTTCCGAAGCCCTTACCCCCCTTTCCGCCATAGCCCTTCCCTCCAAAGCCACGGGAGGATCCACCGCTGTAGCTCAAACGGGACAATTCTTCCGGAATTTCTTGCTTTGCCTCAGTCAAGATTTGGCACAATTCCTTGGCATACTTCCCGACGTTGGCCCTGGATTTGTTTGGGAGTGAACGAAGTCGAGTGAAGGAAGAATTAGTCATCATCACAACAAGATTTATTCAGCACTTCGCATGTGCAGAAAGTGGAACGCGAAACAATATTAAATCGATGTGCAGAAAGTGGATACAGTTAACATCACTCTTCGAACGATAGTTAGTGTTACTTAGAAGAAAAAATCTTTAATTAAATCTGTAAGTTCTCCATCTGATGCAACAAATCACGAATAAAAATGATCCAAATTTTAAATTATAAGTCAACACAAATAAAAAATGTAAGATGAAAGTTACTGAATGTCCTTTTCGCAGAAGAAGGTGTGCGCCTGACCGTCCATAGCACCACCACGTCCGGTACGTCCGATACGATGTACGTAATCTTCAATGTTCATCGGGAGGTCGTAGTTGATGACGCACTTGACATTCTTCACGTCCAGTCCTCTTGCCGCGACGTCCGTGGCAACCAGAACTGGCTGCCGTCCATTGCGGAACTGCTCCAGAGCCCAGTCACGCTCTGGCTGGCTTTTGTCACCGTGCAATGCCTGCGCATGGACGCGCCAGTTCTGGTGGATCTCATGGGCCAACTGATCACAGCCTTTTTTCGTTTTGGAGAAGATCAAAGTCAAGGGCAAGTTGCCGTGGTTCTCATGGGAATGCTTCTCATGCAAGTCGTTGAGGATCTCACCTAGAGCACGGGACTTGTCGGAGAAGTTGTTGACGATTCTGACATGCTGCTTGATGTTCGGGTTGGCGCGCAAGTTGTTGTCTCCGGCTCCGCCAATACGGATCTCAGTCGCGCCGTTGCGGCCAATGACGTCCCCCGCCAGACGCTGGACTTCCCGCGGCCAAGTGGCAGAGAATAGCAGAGTCTGTTTCGTTTGCGGGTTGATGTAGGAATCGATTTTGCGCAGATCCTGTTCGAAGCCCATGTCCAACATACGATCGGCTTCATCAAGGATGAAGTAGCTGATGTTGTCCAAAGACAAGACCCGCATATCGATCAAATCGCAGAGACGTCCCGGCGTAGCGACGACGAGATCGACGCCACGACGGAGAGCGCCGATCTGAGGTCCCTTGGGGAGGCCTCCGACGAGAGAGCAGGAACGCAGATCAGTGAATTTTTGGCACTCGAGCTCGATTTGCTGGACCTAAATGTTGTAGAAGTTGTAGCGAGTGATGTGTCTAAAGATAGTAGTAGAGTCTACTTAGGTACTAGCAAGTGCAAGTCGTGTGTAAAGATCATAGTAGAGTCTACTTGTACTTATTTTCTTTGATATAATTTGTTGTGACGAAGATGTATTTTGATTTCCATGGACTACAGTTTTCTGTACTATCTACAAAATCAATGTTTCGGAAAAAATCTTCTCTACTTAAAATTAAATCTGTTACCAGTTCTCTTGTCGGAGCCAAAACCAACGCGGTTGGCTGACCACTTCCTCCTCCGTAACGCCCATATCCGCCATATCCGCTGTTGTAGCCACCATAACCTCCATAGCCACCCTGGTTTCCGCCATTCTTCTGCTGTTCTTAGACCTTCCGGGAATCTCCCATTTTAAAAATTTCATCTCGGACTCGTTTCGCCCTTTTTAGTACACGCGAGGTCCAAGATGCTTTCCAAAATTATGGGAGATTTCCGGAAGTCTTAATGTTCCTTGCAGTGCAAGGCAGCTGGCAATAGGAAAGCGAGTGTCTTACCGGAACCGGTCTCTGCGATACCGATGAGATTTTTCCCAGAAGTGGCGATCGGCCAAGCACAGGACTGAATCACACTTGGCTTCGGGAAGTTACGCAACTTGTCGATCATCTGAGGAGGAAAGGGTGTTTCATCCCAGCTCTGGCAGATAGCGACGTTCCCATCTCCGCCACGCAGCTCAACCTCGTTCTGACGCAACCACTCGCCGACCGGCAGAGGAGTGTCGTCATCAGTTTGCTTGCCGTGAATAGCGGAGCGAGCAATCGGTCCTTGCTGCACATTGTCGGCGCCAGCATTGTGGTCCTTCTTGTGGAAGGCAGCGAGACCTCCGGAAGCTGCAAATCCACCGTTGGAGAATCCCCCACCGGATCCAACGGCGAAGCCTCCAGCGGAAAAGCCGCGAGGAGAACGAGATCTAATATTACTTCCTCCGAAGCGACGAGCCGGAGTGGGTTCAGCGGAAGAATCAAAGGAACTTTCGGCAGGAGAGGCAGTGGTACCGGTGTTGCGCCAGTTGCCCGCGTCCATGCCGCCATAGTTGTTGTTTCCTCCTCCGTACATTTTGATGGAAGATGTGTTCGAGAGATAGATAGTTGAAGATGATACTGAGTTAGCGTTAGTGGGATTTCGATTAAGATAGGAGGTCTTGTTTATTTGTGATAATCAGTTAAATTCTCGAGCAATGTAGATATTCTTTGATTGATTCAGACCAAAAAGTTCTAAGCTTCCTTGTTTTGCAGAAAGAGACGAAAATGCAGAAAAAATTCTTAGCAAACGACTCAATCGTATCTGATAATTCTGCAGTTGGATATTATGATCTTGTTGTTAGTGTAGTTTAGACAGAAAAATCGCTTTGTTCAGATCTTACGTAAAAGAAATGAATCGGGTTGAGTTGTTGTCGCTAAGGCTAATATGATGCTAATGCATGCGGAAGCTCGTAGTTGTAAGTCTAGTTATTTACGAATTCTAGTAATAGTTGCTTTTTAAACTCAGAAAATGTGGTCGTTTTGGGATCGTTGTGGAATCGCTTTGAACGCTTGCACGAATTCTGTTTGCACGAATTCTGTTTTTTTGAGAAGGGGATCAAAAATTGAAAATTGAAAATCGAAATTTTTTTGAGGATCTTTCTCGCATTTGGCCAATTGAATCGGAAGATCAGGATCGTGGACATGATGAACAGTCGAGAATTAAATTTTCGTTTTCAGGATCAACAGTCTGAACCAGCAGGATTGATCCTTTCATTCTTTAGAACCGCAAAAGGTTCGCTTTCTTCTTCATCATGATCTCTCTTCAGTGGTCAGAGTCAATATCAATGGTCAGAGATGGGATGTCGACGTGGCGCCTCTTTCATAGCATTTTGCATCCATATATGAGGCCATTCAGTATAATAGAGGTTGTACCTCCATGGCACTCAGTGTTTCTAATAAATGGAACACCTCAGTCATTCACTCCATACATAAGCCACTACCAGCACTCGTCCTCAAGTTGTAAAAATCTCATGTCCACCAGGAGTGTTGAGGGTCTGATGTCATTTCGTCAATACACACTTGTAGAAATTGGTTTGCAACATACACTGTCACTGAAGATCACAGTGTAGAGTAGTCGATCGAGCTCATGACGACAGAATTTGAATCAACATGATCGTACATTTACGTTGAGGAACAGAAACCAAGCGTGAAAAAAAGGAAAACCTATAAATGAACTACTTCTTAATGCGCAACAGTCTGCACACTCAAGCAACGGGCAACGGCTAATTGCAAAAGAGGGTTCTCGTCTTGTTTTCCCTTATGATCATCCGTGACTCAAGAGAGAAAGACTCACTTATCCAGCGATTGTAGCGTTAGAGCGTTGCTACTACGTGCGTCTTTGCCATTTTTGCAAATTTTTCTGAGCAACATTTTTTGCATCCCCAAAATGACTGATGTTCTATCGAACGCTGAACGTTGGGGTCGTTTCGCTTCTCCTGCGCCGTTAGCGCCTCCCTCTGCAACACAACTTGCGGTTGTACTTCGACTTAAGTAGATTGATGGCAGGCGGTGTCAGAGGCGTTTGATGTTCAACAAGGAGCGGAGCCGCCATATTAAGCTTTGTAGTACTGGAAGAGGTTGCTGATGACCTCCACGGCGCGCCATTCACTACTTTCACATCATCATGCTTACTACTAGTACTAGTTGCTTTATAACCACGCTTGTCGATCTTAGAACCGTACTAGTTGCACAACTAGAACTACTTAAGTATATTAACTAGACAGTAGGTCTTCTTGCCTCAGCACCTACAACTTCACCAGCACCTACAACATCCTCACTTTCGGATTGTTCGTCAGAAGGACTCAACTTATCCCTCCCGCACCTTGCGCGGCCAGAGACTTCTGCATATCGCGCTGACGCTTAGTCAAATAAGCTCTTTGTTGTTGCGCTTGAGGAGCAACATCGTGTGAGCCTGCTGGAGTCTTCGAGAGTTGAAGAGGACGACGACTACTGGTAACTGTAGTTCCGCCTCTTTCTTGTTGTTGCACGACTGGAGGGATCATAGCGTGTTCCTGCTGCAGATGAACAGTGTGAGGACCAACACTGCTGACCCTCGTTGTAAGATAATGCTGTTGATGTTGATGATAACTGTCGACGTTGTTTAACGAAGAGAACTGTGATGTTGATGATGTAAGATGAAGATTGGGATAATTCCTTAGATAAAAGGCCTGTTGTTGCAGTTGCTGCTGCGCAGCAATCATCATTGGGAGCTGTTGTTGACCCAGAGCCGGAGACGCGACACTATTCGTAATCCGAGGCGTTCCCTGCGCCCACGACGGCGTCCCCAGATGATCCGGCAGTTGGTAACCGCTGCTAGTAAAGCTTCCCGATATTATATTGCTCATGGTGCGGTCAACATTCTCATCCACAACACGTCGGCTACTGCTATGAGGAAAAGGATTTCGACTACTAGTAGCACCACTGCTCGATAAGGTACCTGTCATTGGATCTCCCGGTTGAAACGATGCTGGCAGATTGGACTTTGGTGCGGTGCTCTTTCTCACTGCTAAATCCTTCCGCGGTATGTAGATTAAAGCGCAGCATTCGCTGGCCACTGACTCGGAACGGAACAAGAGACCCCCTTCAAAGCTCTCCCCTTTCGTCCCTTCGTTTACTTCCCCTGTTGGTTCTCTCACGAAGGGGTCGCCTCTTCGATCTCAGTGACCAACCCCCATGACCATTGAAAGTTGAGCCTTAAGTAAAGATCATCGTCGTCTTCCTCAACTTTGTTCTTTTTCTTCTTCCCGTTCTTGGACGGCTGCTGCTGCTTTGATGTCCGCGGTATGTAAAGATCATCGTCGTCTTCCTCAACAGCGTCATCTAGAAGTACAACATCCGAATCTTCGCTATCCTCGTCGTCCACTAGCGAAGACTTTTTGTTCTTTTTCTTCTTCCCGTTCTGGGACTTAGACTTTGGTGCGGTGCTCTTTCTCACTGCTAAACCCCTCCGAGTCCTGCGTTGTGCCGCAAGCAGGTATGGCTGCGGCTGCTGCTGCTTCGATGTCCGCGGTATGTAAAGATCATCGTCGTCTTCCTCAACAGCGTCATCTAGAAGTACAACATCCGAATCTTCGCTATCCTCGTCGTCCACTAGCGAAGACTTTTTGTTCTTTTTCTTCTTCCCGTTCTGGGACTTAGACTTTGGTGCGGTGCTCTTTCTCACTGCTAAACCCCTCCGAGTCCTGCGTTGTGCCGCAAGCAGGTATGGCTGCGGCTGCTGCTGCTTCGATGTCCGCGGTATGTAAAGATCATCGTCGTCTTCCTCAACAGCGTCATCTAGAAGTACAACATCCGAATCTTCGCTATCCTCGTCGTCCACTAGCGAAGACTTTTTGTTCTTTTTCTTCTTCCCGTTCTGGGACTTAGACTTTGGTGCGGTGCTCTTTCTCACTGCTAAACCCCTCCGAGTCCTGCGTTGTGCCGCAAGCAGGTATGGCTGCGGCTGCTGCTGCTTCGATGTCCGCGGTATGTAAAGATCATCGTCGTCTTCCTCAACAGCGTCATCTAGAAGTACAACATCCGAATCTTCGCTATCCTCGTCGTCCACTAGCGAAGACTTTTTGTTCTTTTTCTTCTTCCCGTTCTGGGACTTAGACTTTGGTGCGGTGCTCTTTCTCACTGCTAAACCCCTCCGAGTCCTGCGTTGTGCCGCAAGCAGGTATGGCTGCGGCTGCTGCTGCTTCGATGTCCGCGGTATGTAAAGATCATCGTCGTCTTCCTCAACAGCGTCATCTAGAAGTACAACATCCGAATCTTCGCTATCCTCGTCGTCCACTAGCGAAGACTTTTTGTTCTTTTTCTTCTTCCCGTTCTGGGACTTAGACTTTGGTGCGGTGCTCTTTCTCACTGCTAAACCCCTCCGAGTCCTGCGTTGTGCCGCAAGCAGGTATGGCTGCGGCTGCTGCTGCTTAGATGTCCGCGGTATGTAAAGATCATCGTCGTCTTCCTCAACAGCGTCATCTAGAAGTACAACATCCGAATCTTCGCTATCCTCGTCGTCCACTAGCGAAGACTTTTTGTTCTTTTTCTTCTTCCCGTTCTGGGACTTAGACTTTGGTGCGGTGCTCTTTCTCACTGCTAAACCCTTCGACTTGCCTTTCGCACTCGGCTGCTTCTTGGCTTGCGCCGCTTTTGCCTTTGGCCTTCCCCTGGCTTTGGGAACAGGTGCTACCGCGCCTGAACTGAAAGTTAGAGCGAAATACAACTCATAGGCAATCATCAAGAAGAAGAGCAAAAAGATCACATAAATCTGGGTTACAACTTTTAATTAAATCAGTAGACCCACACGTGTACTCGATCAACTTATAGCAACACTTTCATTTGGAGATTTCCAAAAAAATTTCTGGCCATAATCCAATTCTCTTCTCCGCTGGCGGACTGAACATCTCCGCTGGCATGTGAAGGACATTCGGATTCGACCCAGTAGAGTTTCTCGCGGACTTGCGAGCTTCAGCTCGCCGTTTTCGCGCGTTTGGATCATAATTTATGAGCATGCCGCTTGTGTCTGCGAGAAGTGAAGCAGAATGTTCCGCCACCAATGCTGACGACGAGGACATTCCTCCTACTGCGGTGCGGACACCATGTCCTCTATTCTGTGGCAGTAGAAGATGTTGTTGTGGCTGGAGAAGAAGAACATCATTTTCTTGTGTACAGGTGGAAGATGGATTCCCTGCAGCCAGTGCATTTATTGAAGGAGATTGCAGCTCCGATGAATAAGGTGGTAAGGATACGAAATTTCTTCCATCCTGTCCATGCATGTAGTTGATTCCGTGCATCGAAGGATTCTTTTGCTGGGCATGCGCGAGTAGAGTAGTCCTGGAGACAGCTGCTAAGTCCGGCGAAATGAAAACACCACTCGCAGCAGGTGGACTCCACATAGTTACTACTCCTGCAAGAGGTGGACTGGCACCGTTTCTGATTCGTTCCGTGTACTCCCTTCGCGCGTGCTCCAGCATGGTAGCAAGCGGCGGGATCATCTCGATAGTTGTTATGAGATTGTGAATTTGGCGACTTGATGAACTAGTACATCCGTGTCCTGTTTGTGGCATTGCCGTTGTGCTGTCCACAGCGAGTAGTTCGCTCACGACTCCTTTGAAACATCGCAGACTGAACAAGAGCTGTTGCAGGAGACGCGAAAGGGAGCCATTGAAAAATTCTCGAGAATCTAGCTCGCAGAGAAGCGCTATCGCTTTTGCCTCCTGCTCCGCCCTTGTCTCTTCAAAATTGCGTCTTCTTTCAAGCTCCTCCTCATCTTGCTCTCCTACGTGCTCTCTCTTCGGCATGATTAATAGCTGAGCGCCCCCGACATCAATATCTTCGTCACTAGCATCGGGCTCGTTCGGGTCTTGGCAGATCTTCTTTACTAGATCAGCCGTGTCTTTGGAGATTCGCTCTCCTCGAGATTCCCCTCCTTGGTGGTGCTGCATGTCCTTGGATAACAGGTAGCGGTCTTGCTTTGCTTAGAAGAATCAATAGGACGAGTACTTACAATTCTGCTCTGTCTTACAAATCAGACTCCACTAAAAATCATACAATTTTCTGAAGTACAACTGCTGCTCTGTCATATAAATCAGACTCCACTAAAAATCATACAATTTTCTGAAGTACAACTGCTGCTCTGTCATATAAATCAGACTCCACTAAAAATCATACAATTTTCTGAAGTACAACTGCTGCTCTGTCATATAAATCAGACTCCACTAAAAATCATACAATTTTCTGAAGTACAACTGCTGCTCTGTCATATAAATCAGACTCCACTAAAAATCATACAATTTTCTGAAGTACTGCCGCTCTGTCTTACAAATCAGACTCCACTAAAACTCAGACAATTTTCTGAAGTACTGCTGCTCTGTCTTACAAATCAGACTCCACTAAAAATCATACAATTTTCTGAAGTACAACTGCTGCTCTGTCATATAAATCAGACTCCACTAAAAATCATACAATTTTCTGAAGTACTGCCGCTCTGTCTTACAAATCAGACTCCACTAAAACTCAGACAATTTTCTGAAGTACTGCTGCTCTGTCTTATAAATCAGACTCCACTAAAAATCATCTACTTCGTAACTTGACAGGTGATTGCGAGGTATGGCCATCTGATCTTTCCAATATTGCCAGACTAGGTTGGGTGCTCTATTTTTGCAGTCGTCGTTCCACACGTTTTCCCCGTAAGACCGGAACTTTAACATCTGAGCCGCAAAAAAGCTCCCTCCAGTGGACAAAGTTCCTGTTCAGTAGAGAGGAGAGGATGAACATGAAGAAACAATCTAGCTAAAACAGGAGAGGGTGAAGGACCAACACGCTAAGGATCAAGAAAGTCCTAGAGAGGAGATCAAGCATAAAGTGCGCCAGCGCTGTACACGAAGTACCAATCTCAAGTAGAGAAGGCTTGTAAAAATGAAATGTTTCAACCCATAACTAGAGAGGAGATCAAGCATAAAGTGCGCCAGCGCTGTACACGAAGGTAACATCGACCAGAAACTAAATCAGGAGGAGGGGACACCAAGAACACGCTAAGGATCAAGCATAAAAAAATGAAAATCTGTAATCTGTAGTGATCGGGATTTAACTTAATCGGGTACGTTTCCCTGCAGCAGTTCCCTGCTGTTCTCTTCGTGTGCGGCGGAATGGCGTGCCTCCTAGCATCCACGCCGCGTGACAGTAGTAGTAATCAAAAAATTTTGGAACCTCCGGCTTGGGCTCTTTATTTTTGCTTCCTTTTGTTAGAGTAGTCATTTAATGAATCCTCTTCCAGAAGAAATTCATTCATTCATTCGCATCCTTAGTAGTGCTTCTAGTCTACCATTCATTCATTCCATCCTTTTTTATCATGAATGTCGTCCTTCAAACTACTTCGCGATTTGCCGATTTGCCGACAACATAACTTTGAGTTCCTTGCCGACAATTTCCCTGCAGCGTTCATCCCGTGAAGCAAAGCATACCCTAAGAAATCCTCCATCGTGTTCTGGCCAAGCAACTCAGTAAGAATTTCCGCACATTTATCCACTACCTTTTCCGCCAAAGAACTGCGAAGGCGAAAGAGAGGTTAGAGTGGGATGTCGTATTGGTACCGTAAGGAAAGCATCTGAATGGCAACAACATAAGACACTGCTAACTTAGATGAAAAACTATAATCCTTTAACTGCGAAGGCGAAAGAGCGGTTAGAACATGGTTCAAGGTTCAAGGCGAAAGAGGGGTTAGAATGGGTGGAAGACCGTATTGTATGAATAATAATGAAAGTACTTGTAAAGTAGTTCATGTTTTTTCGACGCAGAATTATTCCACTATGTATGTAAAGGATGATGGTAAACTTGAACGTCATCCATGATAATCATAATCGAACTTGACAACTTACATCTACTAGTACAACATGGAAGTACATCTTCTAAGTCATTCCGTATAATAGAGTAGTTGTATGTGTTCTAGTTCTTAGGAGGAGACTACTCGTCTAGGAAAAATGTACTCGAAAAACTGAAATAAGCGAGTAGCAGAAAAAATAAAAACTAGAACGCAGAAGCAAACCTCGAACACCCCCTCTACAGCTGGAGCAGAACAGAAGACAATAGCCAAGAGAACTTACAAAAGAGACCAACTACTTGCAAAGCCAAAAATCCGCATATTTTAGTGATCTCATCAATATCACGCAGTACACGCCTTAACCAGCATCGTTTCTGTTCCGGTACCGCAGCCGCAGAGGACCAGGGATTGGTAGTGCGCCTTCGAAGAACTCTGAATTCATGCGAGTCGACAGTACCCGATGAAAATCAGCAGCCAACCGCATGTACGTGTCGAAGAGCTCTTTTCGGTCTAGTGGAGACAACAGCCCACATCCAAATTCTCGGGACAAAGCTCCTTTCTTGATGCTAAGGACCTCTTTGCGTTTGAGAAGAATACTTTTCGCCAGCTCGGCAATATTTGAAATCAAGTCAGGCTCCTGAAATGGTGTCAGGCCGTGTTCGAGAAGCCGTTTCAAATGCTCGCTTTCCAGTGGCGCAAGGAGTCCTCCTGTACTCGGCAAATAGAGAGAATTAGAGGACACCAGGACTTGGAGTTCTCGAAGTATCTATGCATAAGGTCATAGCTCGTCTCAACAACAAAGCTCACCTTCAGTTTTTCCGAAAACCTACACCGGGACGGCAAAAATACTGAGATGAAAACCAAAGCCACTTGATGGAGATACAATACAATACAATACAATACAATACAAGACAATCTCGCGCAAAGTTCAGTGCAGACTACCTTAAGGGCGTCATAGATGGTAAAAAATACTGAGATGAAAACCAAAGCCACTTGATGGAGTGAGATGAGGCATCCACCCATTGATCATTAGTAGCCTTAACCGAAGGTGACGAAGTTTTCTGCCTTCTAGCGGTGGAACTTGAGCTACCGCCGATTTGTTCGTTTTCGAAAGGGGTCCGATGTGGCTGTGGACCCGGACGTGAAGCTGATTGTTGCGTTTCCGGCACATAAATCTCCCACCCGTTGGGACTCAAAGGTGCTTGCTTCAATTTGCGATACTTTAACTTCTCACGTGGTTGCACTGCGGCTTCTGGTTGTAGTACGGCAGATTGTTGTTGTAGTCGTGGATATTTTTTAGAACAAGAAGCTCCTGTTGTATAAAAGGTGGACTTTGCATTTGCTTGCTTATTCTTAATAAGAAGTTGACGTCGACGTTCCTCCTCTTTGTCCGCCAAGTCTAAGCCCTCATCTAGTACTTCTTTCGAAAACGACGGTGAAGACAGAGCAGCTGGACTGTCATTTTTCTCCTGTACAAGAATTTGCGGAGCTTCATTTTTCTCCACGACTGTAGAACAAAGAGAAAGCAGCGTTTGAGCCTTTTCTATCGCAACTGGAGGCGCAGCATCAAGCAGCTTTCTGAGACGCAGTGGAGAGACAGTAGCAGTACCGCTCGCTCGTTCACCAGATGAGCCATCGACATCTAGTACTCCAAAAGAGGTGGTCGGGTCACCTCCTACCGTTGTCGAGTTCTCATTTTCACCACCATTTGCTCTAGATGAAGTACCACCACGCACTTCAACGTGGTCTTCATCACGACTCAGCAGCGGCAGCGCACACTTGGAAACATTCTGCTCGTCCTCCTCCTGGTCGCTGAAAAAAGTGCACTTGATGTTCTTTGGAGGGGGCTTTCTCTGCTCTTTCGGCTTCTGAGGAGTGTCCTGAGACATGAGGATGTTCGCGTTCAACGTGTGTTCTTGAAGTTTGCTCTTAGCGCTCGAGGCTGGGGTGGTCTTGTTGGACATATTTTCCGACATCGTCTTCTTCTCTGACCTCCTTGTGGTCAACCTTCGAACTCGCGTCTCCACTTCAGCTTTTGTGCCAGGCGACAACGAATCCGGCAGGGCTTGTCCTGGGACTAGAGTTTTCATCTCCGTGGCATACTCAAGAATTGTAGAAAGCTTTTCTTCAGAAGCAGCATGAACGCCCTCTGCTCCACGACTGTCTTGTAATGCCAAACGCAATCCAGCATCTAGTTTCCTCAAAGCCCAGGTTTGATAACGGATAACTAACTGCTGGGCAGTGTAGAATCGCTCGAGCATGTCTCGCAACTTCCGGTCTGCTCGCGTACCCTCTAACGTCCCCTTAGTCGCTTCTTGGCAGCTCCACTTGAGACTAGTCACGCAAACGTCCTCGGGTGGACACTTGGCATTCAGAATGACCTTAGGGGTCTGCGCGCGAAGCAGTGCCCCTGCTGCGTCCTGCTCGAAGTTGTACAGAACCTTGTGACTCAAGTCCTCTGCTGCAGCCAGCTCTGATGCAAGATCAGCAACATCCGCTGCAGAAGGCGCATGTGCAGGTGCTGCTGGTGCATGATGCCTTCGACTTGTAGTTCTTAAACTACAATTAGAGCGCACCCTAATCCATCGCGGGATTCATCTTGGACCTATTTTCCCCTTACGGGACAGGTCTAAGATGCTTCAGAAGATGCATTAGGGTAAGCCTTAATACAAGTAGTAGAAGTAGAAGCTTCTACTTCCAACAATTCGAGATGCGACGACACTTTTTCTACTTTCTCTACTACTGTTAGAAGACCTTGCAAAAATCCTCAGCGTTCTGAATCCAGCGTCCTCAGTCCCGTTCTCCCTTGAAAACGGGACGAAGATTTGTTCTTGAGGGAACGAAGATGGATTTTCTCAAGCCTTAATACTGACTCCAGACTGGTCTGCCATGCTTTGCGCTTTCCACGTTCAGCCTGATCCCTCGCAGTTTCGTAGGCTAGGATGAAATCGCGAATCTCCTTCATAGGCAACATCTCCAACGATTCAGAAGGCAGATGTCGAGCCTCGGTCGTTAGCGAGACCGCAAACAGATGATCTTCACCGAAATGGAGATCCATCAAGTCCGAAGATTTCTTAGAGGTAGGCTTTTGGTGTTCGTGGGTTCTCCCGCTTGTTATGGCTGTCCCCACCTAAGGGAGAGAGCCATAACAAACGGTGACAAAAGCGCCTTTAACCTACCCTTAAATTTCTCAGCTGCCACTGCAGGAAGCAACTGCGCTGTGAGGAACGTTCGTGCGCCTGCTTGTAGCTCTCGCGTAATCGTAGCAACAGTAGAACTGAGTCCCTGTGTTTGGGTTCGCACACGCGGCAACTCGGTTGCACGCTGCAGTGGAGTCCCGCGAGTGTTGCGGCAGTAAAACCAGCGGAAGATACACGCCACAGCCCGAGCACGTTCGCACAGCTGATAAAACTGCCACAGAGCAAGTCGCCAGGAAGCAGCTCCATTAGAGGAAGCTCCATTTTTAGGAGTATTTGCAACACCAGTTGTATTTGCAACACCAGTTGTATTTGCAACACCAGTTGTATTTGCAACACCAGTTGTATTTGCAACACCAGTTGTATTTGAATTGGTCAGAGGGTTGTCAACTAGGAGTGATTTTCGATTCTCTTCCCGATTGGCCGAGAGCGCGGCGTCTGCTTCTGCCTCTCCTACGATGGCATGCTGCCTCTTCAAAGTTCCACTACGCCGCATGATAGTTCCTGTGCTAGAAGTCTTCGAAGAAGGTGAAGGGCCGGCAACTAGTGACGAGTTTATGGACGACGAAGACTCCGCTTGTCTCAGTTGCACCGTTGGTGCCTGTTGCTGTTGAGGTGCTGTGAAGGTCTCACTCATTCGCGATACGATGTTTTGGAGTGCGTTTCTGAAAACTTTGCACATCTCATGGTGCAGTGCCTCGTTGTTTTTGACGTGCGTGCAGCTCTGTCGCATCATATCGCGTTCATCCCTTGGGGTTTCGGTTGGTGCTCGCTCCAGCTGTCGCTTCTTGTTCTTGTCTTCTCCCCACTCTAACAAGGCATCGAGATTAGGATCACTGAAGTTAGGGGTTGAAAGTTGGCATCTCTAGCTCGCATATCTGTGGCTTTCCTACTTGAAGAAGACATAGAGACGCGCATAGAGAAAGAGATGGCAACTCCCAAGCCTTAATGAAGTCTGCCTTCAAAGCGCGTAACTCTCGCATAAACGCAGCGATGTCTTTCCGATCCGGACAACCAAAACTGTTCAAGATGTCCTCAGCCAAGTGACACTCATCTCTCACAGCTGCTGTGTCGTTCGCTTGTGCATTGTAGAACTCGTGGGAACATCTCCGCGAATGCAGATATTCTACAAATGCTGCGCGTTCTGCAGATGCTGCACTGACACATGAAGTAGAAGTAGAAGGCGTGCTGCATCCTACAGCTTTAACAAGTTGTAGTGATTAAAGCTCAGCACTCATTGGTCACTGACTCTGAACGGAAGACACCTTCTCCAAGGCTCTCCCCTTTCCCTTCATTTTCCCCTGTTCTCTCAGGGGGACCCTCTTCCATTTCAGTGGCCAACCTCTATGACCAATGAAAGTTGAGCCTTAAAGTGAGGAAGATGCAGTTGCTGGCTGAGACGACGTCTGTCTTTGCTGAGAGGACGGTTTAATTGTGTCACTTGTTGTCTGACTCGCGCCGAACGACGCGAGCCGTGGACGTTTAGCTGGTGGAGGCGCACCCTCTACTTCCTCGTCATCTCCAATAGTATTAGTCCCACCAGTTCTTGTTCGAGAGGCATTCGTATAGAGCACTCGACGCAACAGGCTCAAAGCTTGCGAGGGCTGAGTTGTCGGGCTATCTTCGGATGAACTCGCTGCAGCTGCAGGAACAACACCCTTGTGAGTCGTGCGGTTGCTTGTGCCGGGTCCTCTTGTGAGTCCTCCTCTGACCGCACTAGACACACACTCACAGCTCGCATGATCCCATTTTTCGAATTCCGAAAGAGCCATCCGAGTGAAACTGGAAGCGATACTCGACAACTGTTGCGCGCGCCTGCTAGTACTACTAGAAGCCGATGCAGAACCACCTAGTTCTTCCAATGCATGAGGAACGTAACAGCGCTTTGAGTCAACTAGCCACTCAAATTTAGAGGTTACGATATTGCATTCCTCAGATCACCCTTGACCCTTTTTCTACTGGAAAACGAGTGAAGGATGGTAATGAAGAATGCAATGTCGAAACCCTTAACAAATGAAGCCCTGACTGCGCTAATCCTGCCTGTCAGACGCTGCGACAGACTATCGTGTTCCGCCTTCAGGTACAGCCTGATGGCACGTCGAAGATCAGAGCCTTCTTGTTTCAAAGCGGCGAAGTTGGAAAATTTTTTATCCAGCGTGCTTCTGTGGGAAAGCTCGATGACTTCATTCTCAAGCTTTGTTAGCTCCGCAAAGAATGGCTTTGTACTATTCGTATGTTGCTTACAGCTACAACTCTGGAGATCTTCGCTACTCTGAAGTTTCTTATCCCACTCCTCAAGGCGAGATCGAAGCCCCTCATCTGTTAACACTGGACCTCGATCTGCAATTTGCCCATCAAGAACTTCTTGCTGAGCAACGAAGATACTACTTCTATCCGCGGCTCTTGAGTAGAAAGCAATACTACTATCCGCTCTTGACGTATTCATGGAGTCATCTACGGAAGATTTTTTTGAAAATTCTACCGTTTGCGCATCCAGCAATGTCCTGATCAAAGCCATCCTTCGCACTTGTTCACGGACTTTACCCCATTTTTTTATGTATTCCTTTTCTTGAAGCTGCTTTTTGATCTGCGGTACAAGGTTACAGACCTCCGCTCTGATGTCTTGCGGTACATCGCGCCCACAGTCCGTCAGAGCTTGTTGAAGCGTAGTGACGTCTGCGGGTACCACGGTTCCCTTGTGCCTCTTCGCTGTAATCTCAGCGAGCACGTCTTGGAGGATCTTACTCGACCTTCCTGGTGTATGATTTTCTTGTTCCCTTCCTCCTGGTGTATGAGAAGAAGAAGATGCTGGAGGAGGTCCAGCGTCACGTCCTCCAGCAAAGGGCGGCCCGCCACGGAAATTCACCACGGAAAATGGTTGGTCTTGGTGGTCCCGCGGAAATCCTGTTGAAGAGAGTGTAGGCTGAACTCGCAGTGACCGGCCAACGGAGGGCTGCGCTCCTCGTCCCCGCGCCGCGCCAGTGTAGTTGTTGCCCATGGGATTCGGACCATGATAAGGCGGGTTCTGAAAGCGGGGGTTGCCACCACCTCCTACTAGGAGGTCGTCGACTGCTGTGTTGTTGTACTGATTCGCCTTCTCTGTCTCCGTCTGAAATTTGTCACGGGACAAGCGGACGAGTTTATTCTCAATCGCTTTCCGCAACTGCTCAGGACTTTTTTGAATGCGCGCTCGGACTATGTCGGAGAGCTCAGGACTGAGCAGTAGCACTTGCTGTTTTTCGTTCACCCGACATACAAAGCCCTTTCCAGAAGCCTCGTTGTCTGCGCGTAAGGATTCGAATCGCGTATCCAGCTCGACCATCAGAGCCAGAGCAATTAGGGGGGATCAAAACAATTCATTTCTTGCCTTCATTTCCTCAGAATCCTAAGAAGCAAGGAAACCGAAGAAAATGACCCTTCGAAATGAATTGTATCGAACCGTAAAGCAATCCACAACTTGGTTTGCTCGGAAAACATGTTAGAGTCTGCTAGATTGCATCCGGGTTGTCCCCTCATCTCGACCCCCTTCCCCTTGTATTTCATTAGAATACAAGGCAAAAGGGGACCAACATGCCGAGAAAGATGGACACTAAATGTTGACCATAAACATGCGCTCCAACTTTCGATGCGTTTCATACTCGATGTGCGTGCTCAGTGCCGGTTGTTCGGAACCGTTTTTGCTGGGCTTCACCAGGAAGAACTGCAGCACTATCTCTCGCTCTGATGGATGGATCCCTGCACCCAGGTCCAATATGAACTGCACGGCCCGCCAACTTAGGAGTGCAACAGAGTTCAATTCATGTAAGGACAGTTTTGTTGGCGACTCCTTTGAGCTGTAGTTAGAGGACGCTGACGATCCTCCCGGTTTCGAAGCCCCACCATCGTCTCGTGGCGAGGCCATTAGCGCCCTTCGTTCGGCCTTGTCGACCAGTTCCTGAATCTCCAGTAATGTCTGCACAAAACCCGCTCTGCACGGTTCTCCATGCCTCGTGATGCGTTCAGCCTTGACACCTCGTTCCTTCATTGTGATCTTATCGAATGAAATCACGTTCGCGAAGCGGCCATCTCCACGACTCGTGATCACGATGCTACCGTGTGCATAATGCGTCGCCATGTCGTGATAGGGATCCTTCTTCCCAGCTTTCACCCTTTCCTTCGAGGAAGATGATCGCTCCTTGCTCGACTTCTTCTTGGCACTAGATTGCTTCGTTGGAAGGCCAGGAGCTTCGTTGTTCTCTGTTGCACTACTGGACGAAGTTTTTTCAGAAAAGTGTGCTCCGTCTTGTAATATGATCGGCGTCGTATTCGTCAGCACCTCTCCACCTCCTGCTCTAGGCATGCGTAGTGCCTCTTGTGAAGATTGCGGCTCTTGTTGCTCATTTGACGTAGACGCGGATGACGAAGGTGGTGGCTTTGTGCGTTCTAGATTCTCTAGCACTTTAGCTTAAAGCTCAGCATTCATTGGTCACTGACTCCGAACAGAAGAGACCCCCTTCAAAGCTCTCCCCTTTCGTCCCTTCGTTTTCCCCCAATCTTTCCTCAAGGGGTCGCCTCTTCGATCTCGTCAGTGACCAACTCCTCCAATGAGCATTGAACAAAGTTGAGCAGCCTTAATTATCGATGGTCAATCTTTTCTTCGGGTCGCGGTGGATCATGGATTCAAACGTGTCCTTCGAGAAGCCCAGAGCCTTTGCGATCTGCGTCATCATCCCTACCATCTCCGAGTCACGAGCCCGGATCTTCTTATAGAAAAACTGTTGGTGCCTTTTCCTCTCTTTTTCAGACTCCTTGGTCTCCTTTTTTACCTGGCCACGCTGTTCTGCTGGCCTCCACTCGCTCCTGTTGGGGTAGAACATCTCGAGCATGAGGACGCCGAAACTGTACATGTCGAGCGAACCGTAGGGAGGCTCAAAATTCACACGGTTCTGAGCCACGACGCATTCGTCCGGGACTGAGGAAACGATAGGTGAAGTAAACACTCGATTGCTATAGGTATACATGTGTAGATGAGAAGACGTTTAATAGGTATACATGTAGATGAGAACGAGAAGTAAACACTCCATTGCAAATGCAAGTGGAAGTATACTGTATACGACTTCTGTAGTAGAACAGAAAAGATACACCATACTAGAACAGAAAACAAGTGGAAGTACTTATACTATGCCAGTAGAACAGAATGAGGATGGAAAGAACTAGTACATCTTGGTTTGCATTTTCCCATTGACTGTATGGTTTTGGTATTTGGTAGCCTGCATTGGATCACAAGGATTCTCTTCTTGTTTTCCTACTTATGATCAAAATCAGGTTACCAAATACCAGGCCCATTCATTGAAAGGTGAAGGTGAAGATACAGTGAATGAAAATACTCTATTTAAATACTATTAAAAATCCCCGAACATTCTTCGCCTTTAATGTGAACACTAAAGGACCTTTAAGACGCCTTTAATGTGAATGCTAAAGGATTCCCCTCCCCTTTAATGTGAACACTAAAGGACCCTTAAGGCGCCTTTAATGTAAACACTAAAGGAC